ACCCCCCTCCCCCCCTCAGTGTACCTTAAGGAACAGGATTGAATGCCTTCTCCAAGTCCATAAAGCACATGTAGACTGGATGAGCAAACTCATGATCCCTCAAGGATCTTGTTGAGGGTAAAGAGCTGCTCCAGTGGACAGGCTAAAATAGGCATGGTTCCTCCTGGACACAGTCTCAGGAGACTTGCTTCACCATTACGCCTGAAAAGACCTTACTGGGGAGGATAAGGAGAGTGATCCTCTATAAACAGGAACACACCCTCTGGTACTCCTTTTTGAAGAGGGGAACCACCACCATCCCAGTCTGCCAATCCAGTGGTACTGCTCTCGACATCCACATGATGTTGCAAAGGCGTGTCAAAACCAAGGCAGACCTGCAACATCCAGAGTCTTAAGGAAATTAGGGCAGATCTCATCTAGCCCCGGTGCCCCGCCACCATGAGACATTTTCTTAGTGACCTCAGCCCGATTAAAGACAGACCAACCCCAAAGTCCTCTGGCTCAACTTCCTCCATGTAAAACATGCTGGTGGGATTGAGAAGGTCTGAGAAGTATTCCTTCCACCTCCCAAAGATATCACTGGTTAAGATCAACAACACCCCACCTTCACTGAACATAGTATTAGTAAAGTGCCGCTTTCCCCGTCTCAGCTTCCTGATGGTTTGCCAGAATCTCCTGAGCCAATTGAGTCTCTATCCAAGGCCTCACCGAACTTCTTCCACATCCAAGCTTTTGTCTCAGCAACAGCTTCGCTTGCAGATTCTCCTCAGCTTCATCTAGCATTCTACCAGTCAATAAGGCCATATAGGACTCCTCCTTCAGCTGGACAGCTTCCCTAACCAGGTGACCACTACCAAGTTAGAGGATGGCCACCTTGAGAAGCACCAACAACCTTGAGGCAACAGATCAAGGCAGCTGCCTCGACCAATTAGGCGCAGAACATGACCCAGTTCAATTCAATACCGCCTGCCTCAGCAGGGATGTGGTTAAAGTTCTCAGGTGCAAATTAAAGATATTTTTGATGGGTTCTTCTGCCAGGCATTCCCAACAAACCCTCACTACATGTTTGGGTCTACCGGGTCTGTCTGACATCTAACCCTACCATCTGATCCAACTCACTACCAGGTGGTGATTAGTTGACAGCTCAGCTCTTTTCAGCTTTTCACTGCAGCTGTCAGTGACGTACATCATCAGCGTACGGGGGGAAAAAATGAAACGCACACTAATGTAAGTCATACTTGTTTGGTCTAAGTTTTGAATAAGTTAATAGCATGCTGATATATGATGGAATTATTTTTTTATGCTGATACCAGCCAATAATCTTGTACATGCACAAAATTTTCAGTGTATGCTGACGTGTTGCTCATAAGTTCGGCATAATTTCCAGGTATGCAACAAGTAAGTTTAGTATAAGTTAACACACACGTTACATTAAAAAAGGTACTCATAAGTTCACATACATCGGAAACCAGCTAGACAATTGTGAAGCATAATTATTTAAAACCTATGAGCAACTTAATTTTAACATTTCTTAAACTTATATCACACAACTCATATTGACATATAAAACGTAGAGCTAAGGACCCTAAAACTTATTGAATGGGTTTGTGTTTTACAGCCAGCATTGTTGTCAGCATTTAGGGGTTCATCTGTATATATAGTAGGGATGGGATATTTGGCTCTTTAAAGGGGGCCGGATCTTGACCATTCGTTTGCTTCATAGAGCAGTTCAATTTTAAACGACAATGACGTCATCGCCTTCAACGTACGTCATTAGGTACACTGTACATCATCAGGGCTGTATCATACATTTTATAACCCCCCCACCACCACAACCACCACCACCACCACCACCAAATTCAATTCAGTTTATTTATATAGTGCCAATTCACAACAGAAGTCTTCTCAGTGCACTGCACAGAAACATTCACGTACATAAAAATAAGTTAATAACATTATTTATTTTCATAATATTTATATTATTTTAGCCTCCCCACCATCACAGACTTCTACACCTCCAGATGCAGGAAGAGGGCCACCTGCATCATGAAGGACCCCACTCACCCAGCACACACACTTTTTGCCCCACTCCCCTCAGGAAGGAAGTCGAGGAGCATTAAGTGTAGAACCACTAGACTGAGGAATAACTTCTACCCTGAGGCTGTTAGACTCATGAATATCTAACCAGAATAATCACTGTGAAAAATCACATCATGCTGCTGTGTTCATTTCTACTCATCTGCTCACACAGACTCATGTTTGTGCTGCTGTTGGGCATATTGTTTATATGCTACTAGTTATGCTACTAGCGCTTAGTGTATTTTATTAACACTTTTCTTAGTTCATATCTTAGATCTTATTAGTTTTTCTTTTACATTTTACTACTTTTGTTGGATGTAACAGGGACCCTGTGTACACAATTTCATTCCACCACATGTACCACATGTGGTAGAATAACAAAGAACCTTGAATCCTTGAATTTATCTAAATTATAATGTTTATCTATCTTTACTACTATGAAGTCATGTTGAAGTGTCCCTGGATAAGACACTGATCCCCTCATTGCCTCAGATGTGTGTCCCATCGATGTATGAATGTTAACTAAAGCACTGATTAGTCTCTTTGGAATGATTTGTTTGATTATCTTTGTAGAAATCTAGTAGAGTGCTGTATGAATGGGTAAATGAGGACAAATCTTGTAATGTAAGAGAGTTTTGAGTATTGTGATTAAATAGAAAGGCACTATGCAAGTACAGTCCATTTACCATCCCACCTACCCCTGCCCCCCTGAGCTGGTGCACTCCTCCTCTTTTCCTGTTCTACTTCATCTCAGTGAAAAGCAAAGCAGGGGCCTTGGAGAGGAGGAAACCAATGTTTTGCATTTGCTATGCCAGCTGGTTTCTGATGTTTGTATATATATTTTTTCTCATTCAACCTTACTTATACAGATTAATCCCATTGAGCCTCGGGGACTCATTTACTAGAGAGACCTGAATAATGTCTTACATGTAGCATGTGTGAATTTTTATTAAACTTACCTGTTGCATACCTGGAACTTATGCCGAACTTATGAGCAACACGTCGACATACACTGAAAATTTTGAGCATGTACAAAAATATTAATTGACCTTCATATATTTGTGTGCTTGAAACTTATTTAAAAAAAATATATACCTAATGTATTCAATTTCAATTCAATTTAATTTCAATTCAGTTTATTTATATAGCGCCAAATCACTACACACGTCGTCTCAGGGCACTGAACAAAAACATTCACACACACATACAAAAGCAAATTACTGTATTTTTCAGACTATAAGGCGCACCGGATTATAAGGCACAATATCAATGATCGGGTGTGTTTTCATACATAAGGTTATAACATTGTAGTTAAATTAAGCGAAACAATACCGTTAGCTAAGTCAAACTGTATTCAACTCATTCACAATAACTCAACATTGTTCAGTTGTAACACATAAAATACAAAACAATACACATTTTTGAGTATACCACATAAAATCGGTTCGAGGTCAGTAAGCACAACCAGAATTAATACATAAGATGCACTGAATTATAAGGCTCACTGTTGATTTTTGAGAAAATTAAAAGATTTTAAGTGTGTCTTATAGTCCAAAAAATACGGTATTAAAGTTTTCTATCGGGCAGCACGGTGGCGCAACTGGTAGAGCTGCTGCCTCTCAGTGAGCAGGTCCTTGGTTCAAACCCCGGTCCAGGGGCCTTTCTGGGTGGAGTTTGCATGTTCTCTCCGTGCATGCGTGGGTTTTCTCCGGGTACTCCGGTTTCCTCCCACAGACCAAAAACATGCATGTTAGGCTGATTGGTAACTCTAAATTGTCCCTAGGTGTGAGTGAGAGAGTGAATGGTTGTTTGTCTCTATGTGGCCCTGTGATGGACTTGCGACCCATCCAGGGTGTACCCCGCCCCTCGCACAGTGATTGCTGGACATGGGCACCAGCGACCCCCGTGACCCAAAATGGAATAAGCGGGTAAAGATAATGGATGGATGGATGGAAGTTTTCTATCTAAGGAAGGAAGCCAGCAGATGTGATTAATCTTCACTTTGTCAGAGTCTCCCATAATGTAGCTTACAGCAGCGTGTTTGACATTTTTTGCCATACATTGGCATGAATTATCATATTATAGAGGTTACAGTGTGACAGGGCCTGTACAGCATTCTTAGATTTGAAAGCCTCACATGACTCCTCCAATCTGTCTCGTCAGTGAGACCAAATTTATAGCTCAATTTTTGTGTCATCTGACCAGAAATTATTTCTCCAAAAGGCAATTTGATTTGTCCTTGTGGCCAGCTGCAAATTTCAGTCAAGCTTGAACATGTCTTGTTTGGAACAGAGGCTTCTTTCTGGGTCAGCACTCTCTCAGTCCATGGTGATGTTAAAACTCCCTTCACTGTGGACAGTATGATGCTCCAGCAGCTTCCAGCTCAAGGCAGTCAGGAGCCTTGATAATTCCTGCACTTCCTAACAAATTTACTCTCCATCTTAGATCCTCAATGTGTTAACTGTACTCTTCCCCATTGTTGTAAGTATTAATGTGAGTGCTGCCAAACAAATTATCTTCACACTGACCATGACAATCAATCAACCACTGTCGTCCGCGATCACGAATGTGAAGATAATTAAAACCTAAATGTTGCATAATCATTCAACTCAGGAAAAATAAAAATAGTTCCAACCATCTGTTAAAATCCCCAAATTAATAAGACATTCATGACAAAGATGGATATATGTAAACTTCTGACCACAGCTGTATGAATTTTAAGGTCATCTTGTCCAGCCTTATTAGCGCATGACAAAAAACACTAATCTGTGCTAACTTTAAAACGAATGTAATACTCGAGATCCCCCTTCTCTAACTAGCACTGTATGCTTGAATAAAGAGGACAACTGGCAGCAAACCTCTTATGTCTTTTCAAATTAAAACCATCTTCAACAGAAAGATGGGCGACAAGGAATCCTTACCTCTGAACTTCTTAGGTGGGTTGTTGAGGTCACCTGCATCTGGCTGTACCACACAGCGGTCATCCACCAGCCTGAGGAACACAGCCATCATTACAGTGAGTCAATCTTTCAAAACTCACCAGCAATATGAATTCATATGAACTAATAAAACAACTTCCAATAATAAATTATATCACTTAAAAACTACAAAAAACAAACAAACATGCAAATTAAGGTAAAATGTAAAATGTCTCTCCTCTTCTCTCAAGTAAAGATGATGAAGGTGGAGAATGAGCAAACTAAAAAAAAACAAAAAAACTTTCTTTCTACTTGCCAACATATCCAGTAGTAATTTCCATTAATGTAATGAACAAATGTGGAGGGTGGTTTAATTAAAATATAGACGACCAGTCAACGTGAAAGCCACTAAAGCAGCATAAAACATAGTATGATATCCAAGAATCAAAACTTTTCAGTTTAAAATAACTTACTGGATATTAAAAATAAATCCACGAAGTGGTTTGCATATTTAGGCCTCTAAGCATTCCACCTTTAGCTCAGCTCCACTGAGTGTTTTTTTCCGTGGAGGGCCGCTACTCGCTGGACGACATCATCACCTTTGCTAACATTTTGTCCTCGCGGTGAATTGGATGATTCCCTTGAAAAAAGCGATGCGGGCAGCAGCTCCGCTGAGTGTTTTTTCCATGGCGAGACGCAACGCGCGGTACGAAGCCACCGCCTTTATTTGAAGCGGAGTCACGCAGTGAATCGAATGATTCCTCCGTGAAAGGCGATGCTGGAAACAACCTCGCTGCCCCTTCCCTCCTGGAGCGCATAGTGACGCAAGAAGAGCGGTCGAACGGATGCTCAGCCACCTCGGGTCTTCCCACATAGGCAACGACACCGCTCCCAGCCGTCGGCACCCTCCTCTCGGAGCTGCCCGGCTTAATCCAGGAGGCTGCTAACACAAAGGGACTTTTCGTCCTTCGCCTCCCTCCGCCCTGATCAGATTATCTGGCGGGAAGGTTTGGCTCCGCCGCGGCTTGTCGCCCTGTTCCCATCTGGCCTCGCTGTCCAGCTGTGACGTCACATTGGAACGAGGCTGCAGCTGGGCCCAGCAAGCTGAAGACATCCGTCTCCACCTTCGCCTTCATTTCCAGAGTGGAGGGTTTTACCAATCTGTGTTTTTCTCTCGGTCTCGGTCCCCCCGGAGCCAAGCCTGGCAGAGGTAACCTATCCCTCAAGGGAAGCATGACCAGAGAGTGACAAAGCTCTCGAACTGAGCTCACCAGTGCACATCCCAGACTGTCGCGGCGAACAACAACATCGCTCTGCTAGCCTACAGCATCTCAAAGAGGCTGGAGGAAGCAGACATGCTGGAGTAGACAAAGAGCTCTCTCTGTAAAGCCACTGACGTCATCTTAAACATGTGCCAACTCTGCGGTCTGCCTGTCCCTCATCGCCGCCCGGATGACCATGATCCAGAGGACCACCTGGCTCCGCCTCTCACCATCCTAGTCCGAGAGGATGCAGAAAGACCTGCTAGAGGGCCCCATCACCCAAGAGACACTGTTCGGGGCAAACTTCAGGACCATCCTTTAGAAATCGCAGAGGTTCGAGGAGATCTCAGAGACTGTACACCGTCTGGTGATATCACAGTCCTCCTCCCGCCCCTCCGGCCGCTGGAGAGACTGCCTTGGCCAGCAACAGCAGCAGAGGCGCTCCACAGCTGCGGCAACAACTTCATGCTCCGCTCCTCCGCCAGACCCCTCCACCAGGGAACAGCTCCTTGTGTGTTTTGAAATAAAACAGAAACATCTGGTCTCATAGCTGCCTCTCTTCACACATTCTCCACACAGAACGAGCCAGTAACTTCTAAACAGTGTTTTAAATGGCACCGCAGTCCAGTAAATATCACAAAACACTCGTCTGCCACGTCAGCTAAAATGATGTTTTTTTCAGCAGACCGAGTCCGGTAAAATCCCTCATTTTCAGCCAGAGCTCGTTTTTAATTTCTGCTGTTTTCTGCCCACTCACAGTGCAGTAGGAGTAAACGTGTTTCTCCACGACATCTACAGCCTCCACCAAAACAGCGTCTCACTCAAAAAGCGCTCACGCCTCCTCTCAGTGTGTGCCGGCTCACCTCAGCTCTAATGTGAGACCGCAGCCTGGGGTCAGCACAGAGGCACACAGCCTTTTTTCTGTCGGAGCCCCCCTTGGGTTCCCCCCGCAGAATCTCCAGAGCGGGTGATGGCAGTAAGGGGTTTTAGTCTGGTTGACGTTCATGAGAAACATGACACAACACAATGTGTGCCCACTCTCCGAGCGTTACTCAGAGTGGCAGCGAGTGTGTTCCCTGGACAGATGGACGGACCGCCTGATCAGCAGGGGTTACATGCTGCAGTTCGCAGCTCAACCCCCACCGTTCAGAGGGATTGTAGAGACGATTCTATCTTCTCCAGAACAGAGTTCGTCTCTCCAGTCAGAAGTTCAGGAATTTCTGACAAAAAACGTGATTCCCAGAGTTCCCAAAGGAGAGGAAAATATGTTGGGGGTTTTTTTCTCTCCCACTACTTCCTGGTTCTGGACGATCTGCTTTTATTAGCTCGGTCCAGATAGGAAGCAATCGCACGGACCAAAACGCTAGTGTTACACTTGATAAACCTGGGGTTTTCTATAAACTGGGAAAAAGTTCAGTTTGTCCGTCCCAGATGATTGTTTATCTGGAAGTGGAGTTAAACTCAACCACAATGAGAGCCCGTTTATCACAGCTGAGAGCCGAAGTTCTGTCAGCTCAGCTCCGCCGTGTCAAACTCTGCAGCATAGTGACAGTCTGCCTGTCATGCGACTCCTGGGACAATGTCAGCGGCCCACATTGTGGTTCCGCTGGGCCTACTTCACATGAGATGCCTTCAGAGATATTTCGCCTGCCTGCGCATAGATCCTGCACGCCAGAAGAGGTGGATTATCTTTGTGCCCCCCCTCCGTGAGAACCGATCTAAATCACTGGGGAAACCCCCTCACTCTGTCAGAGGGAGTTCCCATCAGCAGGCCTACGTCACAGTTTTCACAGACGCGTTCCTGTCAAGCTGGGAGGAATGTGTCTGTCCTAGGCAGTGGGAGCACAGTGGCTGGACCACGTTGCTTCACATAAATGTGCTAGAATGTTTTCACGGTCTGAAACGTGACTCAGCATTTTGCCCCCTGCTGCAGGATCAGCATGTTCTGATCCACACAGACAAAAAAGTGACGGCAGTTTACATAAATCGTCAGGGAGGCGTGTGCTCAGCCAAACTGGTATGCATCGTGAAACAGCTGTTGTGTTGGGCACATAAAAACCTGCTCTCCATCAGAGCAGTGTACATTCCCAGTGTCCTGAACAGGGGAACGGACATAATGTCGAGGGGCGGTCCCCGCCACAGAGACTGGAGCCTCCATCCCAAGCTGATCTCTCGGATTTGGAGCAGGTTCGACTGAGCAGCAGTGGATCCGTTTGCCACACGGGAGAACGCCCAGAGTCAATTATGGTTCTCACGGAGCCCACGAGACGACCCACCGTTAGGAGTGGACGCCTTCGCTCACAGCCCGTGGCCAAAAATGCTCCTTTATGTGCTTATACCAAAGTGGACAGCTTTTCAGTGATGGTGCATGGAGAAAGGTGTAGAGGCCATCTCATGTCCACTAGGTGGCATGCTGTCCTTTCTGCAGCAGCTGATGGACAGAAATCTAGCGTTCAGCACAACTAAGGCTTATGCTGCAGCCATTTCTTCCTGTCACGAGAGCTTCTATGACAGAACAGTTTTTAATCACTCATTGATGAAGCCTTTCCTGAAAGGTGTACGGAGACAAGGACTGGTGTCACGCCCACTAGCTCCACAGTGGGACCCAACAATGGTTCTGCACGCTCTGATCAAAGCTCCTTTTGATCCTTTAGATCAGTTTTCACTTAAAACAGCCCTGCTGCTGGCTTTGACATCAGCAAAGAGAGAGCGATTTATCTGCGCTCTCTGCTGCCCCGTCATACCTAAGGATTCAAGCTGATGGCAGCTCAGCTGCGCTGAGACCAAACCCAGCTTTCATACCAAAAAACATCACAAGCTCATTTAAAATCGAGAATGATAACCTTGGAGGGGTTTTATCCTCCTCCTCACAATTCAGAGGAGAAAGCATCATCTCACCTCCTCTGTCCCGTGCGTGCGCTTGCATGTTATATAGCACGCACGGCCCCACTGCGTTATTATCAGCATCTGTTTGTGCATTACAGGGGCACCTCTGCAGGTCGCCCTTTATCCACTCAGCGCCTCTCACACTGGCTGTGTGAGGCTATTTCTGAAGCTTACAGAGCATCAGGACTGGACCCTCCAGATAATCTCAGAGCTCATTCCACCAGAGGGATTTCATCCTCTACAGCTTTGCATGGAGGGATGACAGTGGAGAACATTTGTACGGCGGCCGCTTGGTCATCGCCTTGTTCGTTTATTCGCTTCTATCTACGGGACGTCTCTGCCTTCTCCATGACTCATTCTGTTCTCAGTGTTCTAACAGAATGATTTTTACTTGTTTCATGGAATTTTGTTTTAAGCTCACATCTGACTGCATGCAATTACAGTGTGAGATATTTATTATCAGTCACAAGTTCATGACTGTTGTTCTTTTTGTTACTAATCAGTTCATGACTGCTGTTACCAATCAGTTCATTTGGTTACTAATCAGTTCATTTTGTTATTAATCAGATCATATTGAAGAGCTGTTGACCTGCTCTGTTCATCATTACACGGTTACAATTCGTAACCTCTGGGTTTTTTTCCCCCCCATTCTCAGCAGCAGGACTGCGTTTCAGTCATCCCTTCTTCCCCCATTGGAGACCTTTTCTCTCCGGGGCGCTCCTGTGCATGGAACGTGTAATTACGCAGCACGTAATTACGCACACAGAAGGCTGAGGGATGAAATGTTTTTTGGACCGAGTGAGGCATAGACTACATCCTGCTTCGCCTTTAACCCACTAGTGATAGCCTTAAAGGGCTGCACCTATGCTTATAGAAGCTGTGGTAACAGTACGTAACCAACGTTCTCGCTAACATAGACATTCTAT